TAGAATTGTAACATCCGATCAAATTAATTAAGATTAATTAGTGTAATCCGGTTGTTAAGGTTAATTAATCTAAAATTAGTAAAATATTTTCAGTTAAAATTATCATGTAAAGGATTTTTCTCCTTTAAAAAGGATTGCTTTGGAATTGACGTTGTTGTCTCATGAACAGATTTAAAGTGTAAGCAACTAATTTTTCAGAACAGAAATGATGGGCCATTTCATATTTTAGTTAGATTGGACTTTTTTTTTCTTTCCTTTTCTTTCCTTCCCCGAGACATTTTCTCTCTCACTCTCGTGGAGCTTTCTCTCACTGAACTCTTTCTCTCTCTTCTTTCTAAAATTTTTTCTTCAATTTCAAAACATCATATCTCACTCGTTCTTGATCAGAATTGAGTGATTTTTGTTTCTATGAATTCACAACAGAGAGGAGAACGAGATGACATCCAAATTACATGTAGAGAATCCATTATGCCCGATAACTCACCAGAGCTCCGCCGCCGCCCACGCCGTGAGTCGCCATTTCCGGTGGTGGAAGTCGACACTACATGATTCTAAATGTCGAGGACGACGTTGGGATGCTAATCCCTCAAGAAATTTTGAAGAATGAACTATATTTGAGGTAGGGGTTTTCTTCTTCTCTTTCAATTTTTGGTTTTAAAATTTGGTGATTTATTGTCTAGCTTTGTTTAGTTGGTGATTGATCAAAGGAAATTGTTGAGCACCTCTTGAAGTTATGAATTCTCTTTGATTTGGTGAAATTCCTGAATTTTGAGGATTGAGTTTCAAGAATTGAGTTTCATTGATGATAAAGGGCTTTGAACTTGGTTTATGGAGAAGTGTGTTGAATTACTTGAGGATTTTAGTTTACAACCCTTGATTTGGTATATTGGATTTGTATAAAATTTATTTCCATGAGTTATTGGTGAAGGTGATTCAAAAATACAGGTTTTTGACAAAGTTTCTTGCTGAAGCAGCAAGTTGTTTTAGCTTGCGGAATAGCTCCGCTCGCCCACACCGGGCCACTGGTATGTACTCCACCGGCCGACCGGTGGAGTTACACTTTGCTGCTAGCGGTCGACCGGTGGCAACTGAAACTGCCCAAAAATGTTTGAAAATCAGTTTTAAGCCATAATTATTCACACTTCTCTGGTTATAACCATGTTTAAGAATGAGAATGTATTTCTCATCCTTTTTAAAAGTGTTTCAAGGAATTCTTCCTTTTGGTGAAGAATTCAATTCTTCTTGGTGAGTGATTTTAAGAAGATTTTTGAAAAGTCTATGAATAAATATATGTGGAGTAATCATACATATATGAAAAACCTTTTGGAACACTTGATATTCGCGAATCATAGTTTACGAAAGTGGAATTTCAGAAAAGAAAATATGTCTCGAGTTAGAAATTAATTCGAGCATGGTGTATAAACATGTAGAGCTCGTGGCACTGTTCTGATAAGCAATTCACTCTTGAACACTGACCTGATGAGCAATTAGATACTTAGTGTGCTTGATTGCCTGAAGAGTAGGATATGGAGATCGTATTTTTAGGGGCAGGACCCAGAACCCGTGCAGGGTGTATATTGGCTTAGCACAGATATTAGACTTTATGTATGGTACTATTAGAGAGCATTCCAGTTACCGGTGTAGGATTTCTAGTCTTCTCCTATGAACTTCGAGTTCTAGGATGCTTTAGAATTTAAATAGAATTACAAGTACTTGGTACTTGTTGATTACCTGAATGATTAGATTCTTTGTACTATTAAAAATGAATTTGAGAAAGTTTTAGTATTTTTTTTAAAAAAATGGTTTTAAAATACATAGTTATCCGTTTTATTCAAAAGATGTTTACACCTTTAAGATTTTCAGTTTTGAGTTTACCGCTAGCAAGTGTCAAGGTTTAGAATTGAGGATTTCAAATACTTAAACTTTTATTTCTAAAATTGTTTTTCATTGTAATATACTCATATTCTCCTACTGGGCATTAGGCTAACCCCTGTTTTAAATTTTCCCCCTCCAGAGTTAGTAGCTTGACTAGGAACGTGGCAAGCTGACACCAACGGATTGAAGGCTCGAGATACGAGATGGCTTATTTTAATTAGAAATTTACAGTTTTTAAATACGAAAGTTGTACTGTATATTTGTATATGATCTGTATTGGTCGGCATTGTCCCTGAGATGTGTAAAGTTTAAACTTGTGGACTGTTTTGATATTATTTGTAAAAGAAAGTCTCCGGAGCAAAACATATTGATATTTATGTATTATTTTTGTATTTTTGTTAAACATTCTAGTTTAATTAAGTTACTTTTCTTTAATTAAACTCTAAAAATCACAGTCCTATTTTTGGGGTCGTGACAATAACTCAATTATTTATCTGTTGACGAAATTCTACCGTCAACATTAATTTTTTTATGCTTATCAGCCGTCAAATTTGTATTATTTTTTTAATCTAATTTAACTTTTGACTAGATTTAATATAAATCTGACAATTTATAAGCATGAAATACTAGTATTTTTAAAAAAGAGATAACAACAAGAATATTGCAAAAAAATCGTCACCCTTTATATAATACATACAAAATTTCATTATTGATCCTTGCTTTTGCTTCTTCCCATGTACATCTCTTACGATATATACATATGGATATACACACGATGATCGCCGCCATCTATGAGCTAAAGATTTAAAAGCATGGCCAGCATGTTGATAATCTGATGGTTTTTTAATCAGAAAATTACTTATGAAAGACTCAGGATATGTTTGGCAGGAGAGAAAGGGGTGGAGGGAGAGAGTAAATTTCTTATTTGTTAAGAATGAGAAGAGGAAGGAGAGGTCTCCTCTTTTTCTGAACCCACAATTTTAAATTTTTCATTTGATAAAAAGATCCAACTAATCCACCTAAATTTAAATAAAATTATTTTTTTATCTTTCATAATAAATTATTAAAAATAGTAAAATAGACAATATAATAATTTAACAAATAATTATCATCTATTCTTTTAACTCTCTTCGTTCAACCAAATAACATAAAAAATAATTACAATCCTCTTCATCATTCCTATTTCTTATCTTTCTAACACTCTATACCATTCTTATTCTTCGTCCCTCCAATTACATTGAGCATCAAAGTCTCACTTTGCCTGTGTTTAGTAGTACTACGTGCACCGAACAATTTTTAATTTTTAATTTCAAACACGAACCTAAGATATAACAACCTTCTTGAAAGAAAAAAAAAAAAAAAAAAAAGTTTACACAGCGTAAAGTATTGGGTGCCAAACAAATTTGGTTGGTGAGCCAGTTATATCACTCGATGTAGACTTCTGACTTTCCAATCATACTTTCTTTTTCAGTAACTCTATCTTAGCTAGCTGATAATTCATAAATAATATACATGTATACATACATACGCATTAATTTTAATAATTATTTAAATATTTATTTATATATAAATATTATTATTTTAATCATAAAATACTGATTTAATAGTTATATTAATTTAGATAATTGTTCAAAAATTAAATAACAATTAATGAAACTAAATTATTATCGCGCTATAATAATCATTAATAAAAACGTAACTATTAAAAATAAGTCTATATATAGACACATTCGTAGATATTGTATGAACTCAAATTTAGGTAAATTTATGAAAATCTAAAGATGAAATTATATATAATATTCCGTTTTTTTGGTAATCTAGCTTTTTTTTCAGAATGATTTTACAATGTCAAATTTCTTTTCCAAAAAAAAAAAATGATATATTAAGAGGATGGGTAAACAATGCTAGAACAGCAACAATGATTTTATCACGTAAATTCTTTGTTAAATCTAACAATATCTGACATAATTATTTCGTTTATTTAGAAAACACTTTAATCTTTGTCTACCTAGCTAACTAGTTGATAAAAATAGTCCATCTAAGCTACACGAATAACATTGTCTTAAATATTGCTTTCCATGGAAATAACAAAATTAGTCTTGTCCTTTTCATGGTTAATTAAACGAGCAATTTATAATTGTTCTCTTTTAATCTCTAATTAAGAATTGTGCCGACCCTTCTTAGGAGTGGCTTCACAAGACGATAGTGACATGCAAACGTTTATAATAATCTTATAAACTTCTATATAAAATTCGATCAGTTAATAAAGGCTCCCCTAACCAAACAGTACCATCCAAGAGATCTAATTAATTTATCTATTGAACTGGGTTAGTGACCAAAAATGGGATACATATATAATTTTGATATCTGAGCTTTAACAAAAATAAATTGCAACTCTCGGAGATATCTTCAACATGGGACAAACGCATGATATTTACCAACCTGCAGGTCAATCCTCTTCGATCGTTTTATCATCGTGTAATTATAAACAGAAATAAAGATTACCTTTATATATATACATATATACATATATATGGAAGGATTAACTTATCTTTAAAGAAATCATGCATCAACCGCATTGAAGCAAGGAAATATGTATACACACACACAAACGCAGGTAGTAGATATATTTTGCCCCTTCCTCTTTCAATGATCCATAAGGATTAATCATGATACACACATACCTTTTTTCTTTCATAGAATGTGTTCCGTGATGGTAACATATATATATATATATATATATATATATATATATTGTGACATCTTTTTCTACCAAGTTTTTTAAATTCTTTAAGAAAAATCGTTTTCTATATATATATATATATATATATACATACATACATATATATATATATATATTGTATTCTATCAGGGTCCTTCATAAACTTTACTTAGGTCTCATTCACTTCGCGAATTCGAGTTTTCAATTCGAACTGAGATGTGATATTTTTTTAGAGCTTTTTACTATAGCAAAAAAAGTTAGATGTGACATTTTCTAAGAACTTTTTACTGTAAAAACCTAGAATTAAAAACTCGAATCGATAAAATGAACGATACCTTAGTAATTAACAAGCTATATATGTAAATAATATTACATGCAAAAGAAATAAAGAAAAAACCAGAACGAAGCTATGGCCAAAATTGACGATCTAGTACTTTTTCTGAGAACATTGACGGCCTGATTTGTAGATATATCGGACTCCGATAAAGAGCCAATATTAAAGTTAGGGTTTGATCCATAAAGAGCTTGAACTCCTTCTATGTCATCAAGCTGCAAATCCAGTTTTTTTTCTCTGGGCTTCAAAGTTGGGTACATAACAGCCTCTTTAACCGAGCTATGTGCCAACCCTAGCAAATGCCCTATCTCATGTGTCGCCACCGATTCCAAGTCCATCGCCACCGCCGATTTCTCCGACCGGAAGTCTACCGCCCACGTCTCCGCCGCATCGAGGTGGACCTTCCCGTTCTCGGGCGAAAATGAGTGGGCTAAAACCCCTAGGACCCCATCGAAGGGCTCCGAATCCCCATGCTCGCCATGGTAAAACCCTATCTTGATGTCGGCGTAAACGTAGTCTTCCGTCTCGACGAAACTCACCGGTATAACAGACGCCCACCGGGCGAAAGCGCGCTTGAAAACCGCTTTAATCTCCGACGAGCTCAGGTATCGGATGGTGTAGTCCGGCGAGAAAGCGTACGTGAGTTTCATGGGCATGCGCCGAGCCCACCGGGGTTTCCCGGGAAAATACATGTAATGCCTTGTCCCATGCAACGTAAAAGTACTAATTGTGTCCGGAACACCACATCTCGGAGCTGAAATTTGAGACATGGTGTCGAAATCGAGCTTACCGGAAAGTGAGAGCCCGAGTTTTGATTGGAAATGAAGGATTGCCGACTCGAACGTGGCGTCGAATGCGTCGGAGAAATTAGCATTTTCAGGTAGGAGGTAGCCGAAGCGGTGAAGGTAGGTTTTGAGCTCCGAAATGCCATTAACATGGCTTCCTCTCTGAGCTTTAAGAAAACTTTCCATGTTGTTTTGCCATTTGGTTGATGGGTTTAGTGTGTGGAGTTGTGGTAAGAATACTCTAGAGGTTGAAAGGCATATTGTTGGGCATGAACTGATAAGGAACAAGAAGATCATATTGGTGTAGAGGAAAAGAAGAGAGTTCTGGGTACTGAAGAAGAGAAACATGGTGATATTGGTGGTAACTATGTCTGGTTGGAAGTTTCGAACGGTTTGGAGGGAAAGTGAACTTCCACTTTAAAAAGTGTCAAATTCCTAAACCAAAAGGTTAGTAAATTCTATAATTGGAAATTTGAAGATTGAGTGTGGTGTTTATTATAACTAAGTTTAACTGGCTAGTGTTGAGATTTATAACAGTGAAATGGTCGTTATGGGATATTTTGACAAATCTGCTTAATGGTGGCCGGCCCTTTTCTCTACGATGTGTGTGTGTGTGTGTTCAGATCTTGACTTTAATTTTACGGGCTTGACGTACGGTTGGTGTGTGAAACAAAAGTACATTCTCTTAATTAGAAATATTATTCATATACGTTGTTTCTTCTTTTGGTAATCATAGAAGCGTCCTCGATATATATAGATACTAATAATAAAGAGATGTGCATGATTAATTAAGAAATAACGCAATTGAAAAGGAGAGATATATCATATATATATTTATTTATTTATATATATAGTCCCCTATGAGAGAAAGAAGTTTTTTTTTTCCCCTGATAAACGGAGAGACTATTTAATTAATTAGCACTCAAATTCCCTTTTGCACGTATCTCTTTTTAATTGTTGTTACTAGCTAGTAATTTTATTTGATCAGAAATCCAGAATATGCATCCTGTATTTTGCACGCATTTTTTTATTTATTATTTTCATAGTATTAACGTCAATGAAGGTCAACTTCTTACGTGTTTAATTTAGATTCTTTTTAAGAAAGATGTGTAATTGATCAAGAAAAGAAGGAGGGACGAAGATGGGCTAATTTTTCAGGTTTTCATGAAGGATCATTTTATATTGTTATACGTAGAACAGAGAAGTTTAACAATATTTGTTTTATATCATAATGACGTTTGAAAAATGTAATTAGAATAAAAAATGTAGTTGTCTCGTACTAGTATTACATATTTACAACATTTTATTACATAGTATAAATATCAGGTTATACTTTTTGTGTTTGTAGATTGTAATTTAAGAGATTGAAGGCAAATCCTAAAAATAAGATCTGTGATCTTGCAACATAGTTTCAGACGAACATGTTGGATTTTTATTTTATTTTATTTTATTTTTGTCGCTAGCTAGCTAGCTGTAGAAGTACATTGCTGTTCAATTAAAAATGATTGTGTAAAGGATAAGTTTGAGATGCAGCTGAAAATCTGAAAAACAAGAAAAGAAAAAGATGAGCTGTGGACTCGCTTGAGTAGTTCTTCAGTGAGTAAGGCCTCAGGTTTCTGCATTTTTTTTTTTTTTATTTATTTAAGAAAAGGGCTAATTAACTGTCGGAAAGCGAAGTGTTCTGGTCGATAAGATTTATGATCATAACTGCTCTTTCTCTTACGTGTGTATAACTCAATAGTCAAACTCAGACCGAAGAAAAGACATTTGAAGGTAATTTTTCTTTTTTCCTAGCTTTCGATCGACGTGAAGAAGACTCCACGTTCAAAGTTCAAACTCTTTGAAAGCCACAAATAAACTGGCATGTTATTTAGGCCCCCACAATGGTGCATTGCTTGTTGAGTTATGTGTGTATATATATATATATATCTTGTCAAGGAAGCTCATTGTACCAAACTTTGGAAACCGTTTCCTTAAATTTCCTTTGTCCAAACATAAAGTGCCTTTTGTAATCATTTTCCTTGGGGTAGGAGAAATCGGTGCATATTACCAAATAAAAAGGGCCCTTTGTAACCACCATATTGGACCATAAATGATTAACTGGAATGAAAAAATATGTGGGGTTATTTGTCTTAGTCTATTTTATTTTTAATAATTCTATACCCTAAGCGTCAGTAGGAGTCAAAACAGAAAAATAATTTACGGAGGAATAACTTGTAAAATTCTTGGAAGCTAGGGCTGTTAAGAAAAAAACCAAAAAAAATTGAGCGGCACCGAAGTGCACCACCAACTATGACGACTGAAAAAAATCGATGCTATGTCACAACCGTTGTGATCGGTTGATAAACTAAAAACCATCCATTGCTGGAAAATTCAGTTATTGGTTTTGAGATTTAAGGGTTTCTTTGTGAACGAATGCATTTTTTGTTCTCATAATTAATAAAAATTTTAAAAAAACGTAAAAACCATCCGGTTAGCAGGATTATACTATTTGGTTACCAGAGCAAAATTGAATGAAAAATAGGAGGAAGCCAAATTGAAACTGACCAACCAAGCAGTCGGTCCTTCTCTCCAGCTCGGTTTGTTTCAGTTCGGATTTTGTTAAAATCTAGCCGATTTTGATAATCGGTCAATCAGAAAACTGAAGAAAAGAAGGAAAAAGAAATCCTAATTCCTCCAACTGATCATGCTCTCTTTCCCTCTCCACACACAAACTTGGATGGGCTCACTCCCTTGAAAATGATATGTCTAGGCCCTATTTCTTCATGGGCTTCTTTTGTAGAAAATGAGTTGGGTAATCTTAACAAATAGAGTACTATGGTGAAGATTTTTATCTTTTATTTTTAATTTATAATTTTTTTAGTTAAATAATTACACTAAAAAAATAATATTTATCAAAAGTAAGGAGTAAAGGTCCAGACTCATGCACTCTCAAAAAAATTTTCTTTTTTTTTAATAAAAATACCTCTTAAAAATACATGGATCAGAATTTTTACCATTCATAATCTTTTTAGTCAAATAATTACACTAATAAAAGAGTATTTATTAAGAATAAAGAGTAAATGTCCAGGCTCGTACGATCTCATAATAAATTCTCCAATTTTTCCAATGGGGGGTTATGATACATATTGCAGACTTAGACGTGCAGATCGGAGCTATTAAGAGCCCAACCAAAAAATACATAAATATAAAGGACGCCATATAAAGATGTTACTATATATTCCTATTAGGATATAACAGATTTTAGATGCCACCAAATTAATGCACTAAAGATAAATTAAGGAAGATGATTATAGAAAGAAGAACATGCAATATATATGGCACACAGGTCAGTGAACTGATTCAAGCAGCAGCCAAAAAGAAAAGGAAACATGAAGAGAGAGAGAGAGAGAGGCAAGTCAGCAACATAACAACCACCACAATCTTGCACAATCATTAAAGGCTAAAGAGCAACTCAAAAAGACAAAGAAGAGCATAGAAACCAACGGGGGAGCTCTGTTTTCCCTTCGATAAAAGTTGAAATACAGTCACAGATGATCGTATAATATATATATATATATGCAATATAATTATTATACTTACCTTTAGGCCTATATATATATATATATATATATATAGCTAGATTCTCTCCACATGCAATGCAAGCATACATGATCTCCATCACTTCAATCAATCTTTACCGTCCAATCACAAAGCCACCCAATTGCTCAACATATATCAGCGGTTTAACGCGACATTATCGGTAAAAAGTTTTGATATATCAATTGACATATTTATATCATGAAATACTATAACTATGAGTTATTTTTACCGATCATTTTCAAGAATTCACTTTTATATTCCACTTTAATTTTGACACTTACGTTGCCAAATCGTATATTTTCATACAAAAAATAGCTGTCCCATTTGACATTTTTGTATATACACTAATCTTCGGAGATTCTGCATTCAGTATTTTTAGTCGTGCTAGATTTCGTCTGAAAATAAACGGTTTATAACAACAGAGGGGGCAAAAACTGTGTATTAATTTAGAATCAGAATATCAAAGTGAGATCACGAGTAGATATATCCCCAGAGCATATTGGTAAAAACAAACCTAAAAATATATTCGAGGTGTGTGTATATGGATGCATATATATATATATATTTCCTTTGTGGGGGATCGTTCAGATCAGTGATGGTGATGGGAGGTGAGGTAGTGGGGCCTATGCATGCATTACTGAGATCCAGAAGAGCAGATACGATCAGCAAGGCAGGTTCTTTTATGATCTGCTAGCAAATATCCATGTTCCATATATACATATTATACATAGATATATATATATATATATATATACAAACACACACACACATTATACACACACGCATGTATATATAGTTTGCAGGGAAGAGGGGGGGGCCCATATCGACTCAGCTTGACGGGACATCTGCGCATATTGGTATCATTTTTTGCCTGCAAATATCCCCACCTTGTTACGTCTTTTTCACTTTTATTAATCTTATTACTTTGTTTTTTCGATCCGATCATAACCAAACCAGAAATTCATACATGATCATGATTCATCTGTATACAAAGTCCTTTTTTCTTTTTTTCTTTTTTTTTTGTCTCGAAATTTTATGACAAAATTTTTGTTTGTCAAAAAAAAAAAAAAAAAAAGCTGCGGTTTGGCTATACCGACATGAAAACCTATTTTATGCTTATTCCATTTTATCCAAACCGTTTTCCTGTACCTTAACAAATTAAATATAATTTTTATTGAAAAAAGGAATAAATATTAATGGAGATTCTTGTAGTTGAACGTGAATACAACGATATTATATAAAGATAATATATATATATATATGTATATATATATATACACACACTCTTGTTTACCATCCACTTTTCTCGTTTTACCTTTCAACGCAGACACACCTTTGTGCTTTCCTCCTTTAGCCTAGTTGATGAGCTGTTTTGGTGCTTTACACAGGAAACGCGTTTGCCCTATTCCTGTAGTGTTTTACCTTCCATTAATTTTTTCTTTTTTTCCCCCTTAGAAACGTTCGATATTCAGACGTGATGAAAATTAAAACGGGGTATATGGATCAAAATTACTTTAGTTTCATTTCGTAACAAAGCTTTATTATTATTTTTGTAAAAAAATACCAATTCCATCTTTCAAACTTTTGAATAATAATAGTTCTATTGTATATTTTGACAAGCCAAACAGAAACTATAGCAGATATTTCATTCAATACAACATACAATTCCAGGTAAAATAAGAAGACTCTTAATTGTGCGAAACGTCTTCTTGGCTTACTAAATACGAATTGAAAAAAAAAAAAAAAAAGTGTCATCCTTAGTAATAATGGGCATGGAACAGGTAATTCATTCATGACATGGAGTGGGAGGTTGGGGGCTTATAATCTTTATATCTATGTATAGAATAACACGTGTGCGCTAATTTATGAAAACAAAATAAATAAATAAATAAGCCTTCTTGCTGTACATAGTATGTGCATAAATACTATATGCTTGCATTACAAAAAAAAAAAATTTAATTCATGATGGTTTTGAATAATGGTGGTTTGTTATTCATTTAAAATCAACATTGCAATTGTAGATCTTATAGAAATACCAAGATCGATGTAATAAACAATTCATTATAATAAACAAATTATTTAAACAAAACAGAACAATGAGAATTTTTTTTTCACTATAATAAAAAAAAATTCGGCTCAATTTTTGTTGATCATATTCTGTTATAACCAAACAGATCTAGCTAGAATTATATGGACCCATTTTTATATTTATGTATATATCGATTAAGAACTCATGACTTGTGACAAAGACTTTGCTCAAATTAGGGTTTCAACGGTACGTAAAACACTTCAAAAGTATATGCTCTTTTTTGGGCAGCAAACAATGAACTTTTTAGTTTGGATAGTACTAATTTAATATTATAAGGGTTGATCAGGAATAATAAAATTCTCTTCAAGATGCCATAATGAGTTTCTTGGGTATCACTAATTAACCAATTTAACCTTTTCTGATAATTCTAAAAAGAATAAGATAGGTATATTATATATGTGTGTATAAATATATTGACGTAAGTACGTTTGTATGCTTCTACGCTGTACGTAAAGTATTTATGCATATTTATTTAAAATAAATAGATTCTCAGCCAAATTATGAATGCGAATAAATTGCAAAGCAAGCGGCCTGGATTAAATATCAGAATCCCACAAAAAAGAAAAAAAGTATTTATTGCCGTACTTGCGACCATTAAATAAATATAAATTCTTTTTGATGGACAATAAATATAAATTGATTCATCAACCAACTACATATTAAAACAACAAAAACATTGATGAGTGCCTAGCTAGCTAGCTATACTATATAGTTGCAGAATATATATTATATACAGATGATCTGTCTCATAAATAATGCTTGGGATCCAAAACTCCCCCCATATGCAGAAAGACGAGAGAATAATTCCGGTACGATGAAAATGGCCTAAAATTTCCAAACTTTAAAAAAAATTAAATGTTTTTCATATATATGGTCCCCTCTCCCATATCACCCATAAAAGCAAGATATATATATATATATATATATATACACACACTTGTATGTACACATGATCATGGTCCCCCTTCATGAAATATCGGCCGTTCTTCGTATCTAAGACTTTTAACAAAAGTCTTTCCTTAGATCTGTTTCATTAAAAGAAACAACATTTTTGCAGACTCATAATTTGTGTGATTATTGGGCCTAAAATCCCAAAGTAAAAATATATATATTAGATTTACACATATGGTCCAAAAGAAGAAAAATCAAACAAACATATGGTCCCCCACTTCTAATATGATATTACATATCAGTCCCCTTTTTCTATGACGATCAATATCTCAAACTACTTTTTTTTTTTTTTTTGGTAATCTTTTTCTTTTTTGTGTTTCATTAAAAGAAACAATGTAGCTTCGTGCTTCCCATTCTCAAGGCCTAGCTGATCAGTTGCCACCTCTGGCTCATTGAGTACGGGGGTTACCAAAATTTTTGGCAACCCAAAGCTTCCTTGATGTACACGTGTCAAACAAACACTTAACCAAGTACAAAATGGGAGTTTCCTCTCCTTATCCCTAGGAACCCGTTTCTTTGGAAAGAATATTTTTCACAAATTTTCCTGCAATATTCTCATCAATCAATTAATAAAGAAAAATAATAATAATTTTGATCTGCCCATTTGTACGTTAAAGATACCCCCTATTCTAAAGTAAGGTGCATGGACTATCGCAACCGTACACGTGGCATAATCCCAGAGGCAGTTATGTGTGAGGTGTCTTGTTGCTTTGGATGCCCAATTTATCGCAAGGCCTTTTTTTTATTAAAGCGATCACTAGGCCTTTTAAAACAAACATATTTATGGCAATCCCAGATGGTCTCTCGCCTCAGCTTTTGCCTCTTTTTCTTCCGTAATTTTATTTATTTCACTGATTTAAATTTAAAATTTAAATTTTATTATAATAAAAAATTTTTAAAAATAATTATATTTAATTTTTTTATTATAATAAAAAATTCTCATATAAAATGAGTGAAGAAACAGATCTGAACTCCTTACAAAAACTTGCTGTCAAATGTCAAATCACCGAGTTCCACGTAAACAAATGCACCCATGTACTACAGGTTAATTCCCATAGGCAGCCAAAGTCGAACCACTTTCCTCTTCTCTCAAGTTTTGCCGGGAGGGTCAATCGTCGACCCCTCTGGGGACACCCAACATTTTCAATCAGGAAACCGCTTTCTGGATCGTCGAGGAACCGGTTATCAGTCGCCGGAAAGCCACCTCCGGCGAAGGCCATGGCGGGAACAGTTGTGGTTTTTGACTTTGATCGGACAATACTCGACGGCGACAGCGATAATTGGGTGGTCACAGAGATGGGTCTGGCCCAGCTGTTCAGCGAGCTTCGCTCCACCATGCCTTGGAACTCTCTAATGGTCTGTGCAAATTCATGTTTTTTTTTTTTTTTGTTAGAAGAAGTGAGAAATTTATGTACCCTTTTTCCTTTTCCTTCTTTTAACGTGAAAGAAGAGAACATTCAGCGTAAACTTTGCAAAGTTGTTGTGATTGCAGTTAGGATAGTACATGCTAAAGACTTAAAAGTGTTCTATTTTTCTTTTTTTTTTTCTTCCTTTTTATTTTCTTTTCAGTTTTGGCTTGATTGGCTCCTAATCATGAACCAATAAAGTCCTAAACTTAAAGCTGAGCTAGAAAATAGTCCTAAACTTTAACTAATTTTATTTCAAAAGAAAATGGTATGCATAAGAATCATGATTTTTGATTGTTAGAGAACTTTGCATATATGAGTCTTTCTTACATTGATCATAGATTTTTGAAATATTTAGTATTTTGAGTTTATTTAAAAATTATATCTTTAATTTTTAATTTTATTAAATGTATATCTTTAAATTAGATTTAATACTTAAATTTATACATTTTTACAGTCAATTTTTAATTTTAAATACTTAAAATATCTTAAATTAAAAATAAAAAAAGGAAAAAAAAAACTAAAAAAAATTTTAAATTTACGATTTTAACCTTAACAAATCCAAAATACCATTAAAATGGATTTTTTTTTGTGTTTTTATTTTTTATTTTTTGTAGTGTTAGAAAGTTTTAGTTTTAGTTTCTCTCTTTTTCTTAAAGATGATTTGGTCATTTTAAAAGTCAAAATCAATTATTGACCGAAATAAAAGATAGATTTGTATATTAAATTAAATTTTAAAATATATATTTGATAGATTGGTATAGATTTATTTTTTGTAGTTTTTTTTTCTTTGTGCTGGAAATAGATTCATATGGTTTGGTTTACTATGAATATGTAGGATAGGATGATGATGGAGCTTCATTCCCAAGGAAAAACACCTTCGGACATTGCCAGGTGCCTGCAAAGTGCCCCAATTCATCCCAGTATTATTGCAGCCATTAAATCAGCACATTCCCTTGGGTGACTTCCTGGACTTAGTTACTATTAGTTATGGCTTGTTTAAGTTTTGGGGTTGTTTGGAACCTATACTCAAACTCAAATTATGATTCTGCTACAGTATTTTTTATCTCATAAAGAGTTTGAATTCTAAAATTTCTTTTCCACAAAGTTCTCGTCAATGAACCCAAATAATATTTTGAGTATACATTCCAAAAGGGCCCTTGATGACTGTTAATAAGGATGGAGACCAAAGATTATGAAACACAATTTGATGATTTCAGATGTGATCTTCGGATCATCAGCGATGCAAACAAGTTTTTTATCGAGAAAATATTGGAACGTCATGATGTGTCGGGATGCTTTTCGCATATCACCACGAACCCGACCTTTGTAGATGAGGATAGAAGGCTTAGAATTGTGCCTTATCATGATTTAAGCTCGCCTCATGGTTGCAATCTGTGCCCTCCAAATATGTGCAAGGTATTTCTTAGCACGAGTATCAACTATTGTGTTTTGTGTAGATGTTATCGGTTTTGGTTCAACAAATTTGAATATTCTAGCGTTGTAACTCGTTATGAATTTCTATATCTTAAAATGCTTAGTAGGGTGATTGAATTATGTAGAACACCAATGTCTGGTTTAGTTCAAAGGGAGAGAATTTATATAGGAAGGGCTTGATTGTCAAGCCCTGTCTTAAGAGCCAGAGTAAAAAAGTGACCAAAGACAGTATGCGAAATTCTATCATCAACTTTCCTATCTGCTTCCAATTGTAAATGTTTCTACTTTCTAGCTAGACTTTGAATATGCAGAGAGCCGTAAGAGAAATTGCCAGTTACTGACAATTGTATCAAGGTGATATAGAAAATTCTAAGAAAAAAACCAATTAACAAGTAAATATCCTTTGTTTGTTACTATCAGTTAGACGGCTAACTATAGGCTAGAAAATTTGCTACTTGAAGAGACATATTGTCTATTTCTACTTCAGTTATAGTCACTTCTGCAACTTAGATTTTGGTCCCTTTTAAACGGCAAAAGAGTTTAATTTTCTTCTCTCTAGTGGATTTCCTTTCTTCAATGGAAACCGTATGCTAACCATGAATCGAATGTCATCTTAGGGTCTTGTGATCGACCAAATACGGGCTTCTGATTCTGAAAATGGGAGGAGAAGATTTATCTACCTTGGAGATGGGGGTGGTGACTTCTGCCCGACGCTGAGGCTTGCCGAGGGAGACCATGTCATGCCAAGGAAGAACTATCCTCTGTGGAAGCGCATTTGCAGCAACCAAACGCCAATCAATGCTGAAATCCATGAATGGAGCAACGGGGAAGAGCTTGAGAAGATCCTTCTTCACCTCATCAACACGACTGCTGAAGAAATCAGTTTCAGCAACTCACCTCAAAGTTAATGGGAACAATTCAGGACATTTCGAGGCTTCGGGAAATCATTTCTTGATGAGTTTGCCTTTGCCCTTTATCTTGTGATCTGACTATCAACTAATTTACCTTCAAATTTAAGACATTATATTTAAAGGGATGTTTGTTTATTGTATTCGTCTCTGATTCTGAATCATGATTCATGGTTTTTTACGGTGTTTTTCTTTCACAAAACACACGTAAAACGAGAATAGTTCTGAATCATGATTCTGAATCCATGAATCAAACGTCTACTAAGATGTCTCAGCCAACATGATTCCTAACCAGGATTATAATAGATTGTTTGGACATGAAATTGGAGAAGCCAGAATTTTTGGAATTTGATCATCTAGTTTAGAAACTATTAGGGCCCATTTGATATATATACTTGAATCTGTGATTTTGATTCCGCTACAGTGTTTTTTTATCTTATAAAGAATTTATATTTAAAAAATTTCTTCTCTCATAAAGTTCCAGTCAATAAATCAGAATGACTACTTAAACGAGTACACTAAATGGATCCTTAATTTGGTGTCAGACCTAGGCTCTATTAGCTTTGATCTACTATTCTTTGTTTCTCGGGATTGCATAGAATATTCTTCATAAATGCTCCTTTCTTTACTCACCAAACAAATAAATAAGTGAAGCTAATCTTTTCAACTAGCATACCATATTTCTGCAATCTCTACGGCCTCCATGGAGGATTTCTTTTTAATGTTATTATTACTATGATTGTTATTGCTGTTATTATTATGATGATAAAGTTGAAAGAAATTATGAAGGCTTAGTGAGATCTACGCCAAATCCATATCATGGTTTAATGAATTTTGATTGATGCCACCATTTATTGCCTGCCATTATTGTTTGTGATGATATTTCCATGCAAAATTTCCTTTCCACGTCACTCATTTCTTTACATGGACCCTGGCTGCCCATCCCCCTGCAAACTCCAAAATTCAAAGACGTATTTAGACTACCAAACATTTTTTAAATTAGAGGTATTAATTGAGCCGGATCGACATTTTTTATATTAGAGGTGTTAATTGAGTCGGGTTATCATTTTTCATATTAGAGGTGTTAATTGGGTCGGACCGTCCATAAACGGCCCGGTCCAGCCCGCAACAGTGGTTAATTCGGCCCGGCCCGGCCTTGTACTATTATGGGCCGGGCCAGCTCGGCACGCCAAAAGGGTCTAGATTAGGCCTCATGTTTGAGGCCCGCAGCCCAAGCACGGCCTAGGCCCGTGAAGGCCCAAGCCCGCGACATGAAATTTTAATGAGATTTGAGGCATTTTAGGGCCAACTGGCCGACTTATGCCATCCGGTCAACCAGTCATTTTCTTGTAATTATTTATATTATTTCAATAAAATCACATTTTTTGGGCCATATGATATATTACTTTTTTTTTGTCATCAAATTTGAAATTATAAAAAAAAATCTTAAAAAAAATTGTTAATCATAAGTGAAACTTAAGTGCATCAAGAAAATTAGGTTAAGATTAAGTTTAGAAATAACAGAATCTTCTAGAAAGCACTAAGATTTTGTAATTTACTTATCCTAGTATATTGCACTCTTTTTTCCTTCGCTAAGGTTTTGTCTCGATGTTCCCACGGGTTTTACTTGTCAAGGTTTTTAACGAGGTAGTCATTTATGTGTACTTATTTGTATTATCTCAATTCAATAAAATCACATCTTTTGAGAACATATGATATATATATATTTTTTAATTAAATATTAGAAATAAAATTAAAAGGGCTAGGGCCGGCCCGTGAAGTTTGGGTCGTGCCTGGCACGGCCTTACATAGTGCAGGGCCGTGCCAGGGTCGGGCCTGAGACCATAAGGGCCAGGACCAGGCCGTGAAGGGCCAAGGCCCAGGCCCGGCCCTAGCCCTTATGGCCTCAAGCCCGACCCTGGCACGGCCCTGCACTATATAAGGTCGTGTCAGGCACGGTCCAAACCCGCCACGGACCTAAGATTAGAAGGGCCGTTTTGACATCTCTATTTCAAATTACAAATTTTCAATCACAGAAGACAAAAAAAGAGTAAAGCATTTCCATTCTAATGAAAGGATCCTACACTTTTTTCCATTAAAAAGATGAGAAGAAAACTATCCAATTGGCTAAAGTATAATATTCCTTAGGATCCAATTCTTGATGCTCATTCTTGCTGGCCTGAAGTGTTTTGACACCTTGATTCTATCTTCTTTATTTTTTTTTTTTTTTTGAGATTTTTTTCTAGTTAAACATAAGGCATAATTTTATTAGTCATATTAAAATATTATATTCAAAATATTTTATAAATAGCTCAACATAAACTTAATTTGTTGTTTTTTAAAAATTTAAATGTGGGATCTAAATTATACACCTTACAGCGAAGTCGAGTGAAGTCTATAACCACAAAATTAAAATCGTTATAAGAATTATTTCATGCTATTTTTTGTGCACAAAACATAAAAAATATTGTAATTATATAATTTAAATATTCTCAAAATATTTTTTAAAAAAATTGTTATATTTTAGTTCCACCCTAATTAATTTCTAACGTGGTGTAATTTTTCTAGAATAAAAAATAAAGGGTTAAATCTCAGTATTCATTCCAAAGTTGGCCACGGCATTGTTTCTCAGGGGAACGGTCAAAAAAATACAAACCCCATTAATGTTGACAAAGTTTAGTCTCCTTTGGCTTTCTGAGATTAGTCAGTTAGTCAACGATTTGAATAGACGGTTTTGATCGTGGAATTCTTACCCTTTTTGGTGGTAATAAAATAGAACCGGAAACACCTCAACAAAGCTCAGGACTAAAATAATTATATTTAATTTTTTTATTATTATAAAAAATTTTAATATAAAATTATTTGAATCAACGAATTAAAAGGATCTTAAAATTATGTAACAATGCAGAAACTATTGCAAATAGGCATAGACACGTCAGCTTGTGGTGGATAAACTTGTACCATTTAGCTTAACTAAAATCATAATACGGCCACTAATACACGGACAAGTGTCATAGTCAGGAAACTAATACGTGCTTTTTTTCACGAATGAGCACAGATTGCTGGTTAAAAGTTGTGCTCTTGAATTCCCGGAATGAATAGTTGCAGTGCATTGGCAGAGTACTTTGTTTTTGCTACACAAAAAAATTTACCATTTTTCACAAATATGAAAAAAAAATTGGGTGTTATATTGATCAGAGAAGGACTCTTTTGTAATAATTTTTGTTCTTTCTTGTGTTCAAATCTAGTCAGTTCTCTGTAGCTAATTGTGCTTGTTTCAACTTTTTTTTTCTTTTTTTTTAGCTCTTTGAATATTAATCATATATAGTCAGTGCAAAAATGTGCAATAGAAGAAATCTACGAGTACTACTAACCTCGGTATAGCTAGCTGGGGGTGGGAGAATCTAATCAAACTCTCTTACTTTTTTTTTTGTTATTTTATTATTTAATATTTAATATTTACTTTTGAGTTTTTTTTTTTTTTAAAGAAAATTATTATGGATTGAAATGGGTCTGACTATTCAAAAAGAATGCCAAGGAGTGGTCACAATCAGTCCAGCCAATCTGGGTCAATCGTTGCTGAATTTGAATGGAGGTATTGGGTGGATCCCACTGATGACACGTGTATGGTCTACCCTAATTTTAGACTGCATCAATACTTTACAGTCTGTGTTTACATATTGGCATTAAATATGGCGGAGATCATCTGGATTTGGATGATATTTTTACTCAATTCAACTGATCAACTCAAACCCAGTGTGAAAGTTACCCACATGATCATCTACATTATATATATATATATGTATGTATGTATGTATATATATATATGTAAGTATGTGTATGTACGCATATGTTTGTGTTGATCTTGCATATTTTGAGTACGAATTGTTGATCAGTTCTGTTATTGCTGTGGAAGTAAACGTAAATGTGACAATTAAATGGGACAACAACGGTTACTGATATGGAGTTGTCAACAAAATAATTTGTAGATGAAGTACTCGACTAAAAACAAAATCCCTATGTATAGTTGCTATCTAATTTGCTGGAAACTATTTTTTTTTTTTTTTTTTTTTCAGTTTTTTCTCCTTGATTATAAGAAGTAACAGTTTCTGTTATTAATTTAATTTGCACGTTTATGCACGTGTGAGCATCATTTGCTAGAAAAACAAATATACAGGTTTGTAACTATTAAGGACATTTTTTTTATTACGTTAGTTAAGTTTTTTATCCCTCAGATTTTTATAAAATTAAATAAAAATTAAAAATAATATAAATTTAACGGTTAAAAAAATTTGACATATAGACGTTTAAGTATTATTATATGTATATAACATCTTTATTAATTACCCTGTCATATTAATTTATAATTAGCTTGAGTTAGGAAGCAAAGTAGCCGACCCTAATTCACTAAACAGTAAACACCATTACCAATGCTATGCAGTCAAACGCCCTCGAATAAGAAAAATATATATTGACTCACGACAAATTATGAGAACCGAATTTTATTGATAAATATAAAGTTGTAATGTTTATCAAACTATAAGGTTAATCTCACAAATTTAGCCTCAATTTCACTTTAATTCATGACTTTTCGAACGTTGCACAGTTAATCCTTCTTTTGTTTGTTTGATGTTAAATATTTGACAAAATCTATAGAAAGTATGAACTAAAATTAAAAACACATAAAGTTTAGAAATTAAAACAATACAAAAAAATCAAAAGTTAATTTTCACAAATAGACCTAAAATTTTAGCTCTTACTATTTTTAGACTCTAATTTACACAAATTTTATCAAATTTTAACGTCTAATTGATGTAAGTATCAAAACTTAAACAAAATAAAATTTTAAGAACTATATGTGCGACGTTTAAAAGGTCAGTAACTAAAATGAGATTGAATATAAATTTCAAAAATTATTTATGAAATTAACCCATATATAATATAATTTTTAACTAATAATATTTTATCAGTTTGAATATAGGATTAGCTATATGATTAATTTTTTTAATGTTTCTCAAGCTGGTTCACACCAGCGTTTTCTTCCCTATAAAAGCACGTTGTTTTTAGTTAGTGGAAAGAAAAAGGTACGCGGTTTATTCTTCTATTATAGTTTCTCGTACTTCCATTATTTCACACGAATACTTTACATGAACTTCGTAAAATACACCTTCTCTAAATATTAAAAAACAATTAAATATACGATCTTATTCCCACCCAAAAGCCAATAAAAAAAAGATCCTCGATCTTATCAAATGCGGTGTATAAAATATTAACAAAAGCTATGGCAAATAATTCACGTGCAGATATTAAAGGGATAAAAAATTGGGAACAAAATATTTCTTTAATCGGACAAGTGTTTCCACAACGCATCAGGTAAGATATTATAAGAATATTTCACTGGGAATATAATATATATATATGTGTGTGTGTGTGGTGTCTAAAATATATTCTCACATGCCGTTCATGGCGCGTGAGACGTACGTTCCTTAATACACGCTAAAACCGTACATAAAAAATAATGAGGGAGGACAGGAGGATAGGAGAGAGGACAGTTTTACGTAAGAAAATGCATGGAGAACAGATTAGCAGTGATACAGGACAGTGTAGTACACGACCTTTTTAGCTGCGAGTGTGGAAGTCGTACGGGGCCCCCTCTCTTCTTTCTCCTCGTGAAGAACCCAAAAAAAAACCAACCCCTTTCATTTCACTTCCACGTTGAAAAGAAAAAAAAAAATCTCTCTTTTCTCTTCCAAATCTGAGCTATTACTCTCTGATCCGCTCCAGTCTTATCATATCTTCTCTCTCCAACAAGCTGTTTCTTGCTTCTTTTTTTTTTTACTTTTTTTAATAATTTTTATAAAAATAAAATATTAGTAATTTATTAATTTTTAATTGTTAAATCGGTATAAAAATTATTTATTTTATATATTTTTTAATTTAATATGATTTTAAAAAAATTTAATGATCAAAATTGAAACTGCTAATACGATAGACTGTCAGAAAAACTCTCAAAAAGTAAAGAATTTTTATCATTCTGAGATCTGTTTAGTTCGCTGATTCAAATTTTTAATTCGAATTGAGATGTGACTTTATATGAGAGCTTTTTACTGAAGTAAAAAAGTTAGATGTGACTGTTTCTGAAAGCTTTTTACTGTAGTAAAAGTTAAATTTTAAACTCGAATCGGTGAAATAAACGGGGTCTTGATATATTTTGACCTAACTTCAACAACACTTAGGCCTGTGTGTTTCATAATTCATATATTTAAACTCAAATTATCGATTGATTAATAAAAAAACTCAAATTATTGATTATGTTATAGTGTTTTTCTCTCATAAAAATTATATTTAAAATATTAAAATAAAAAATCATAGTTTAAATACGAGCTCTTATACACTCCTATTTTAAAAATGAAAAATAAAACTATAAAATTTGCAATTTACCTATGTGGTTAATAAAATCCCTATTATTGATTTTGTAATAACGTTAAAGAAAAACAAATTGAAGAAATTTTATTGAAAACATGTTTTGCCATTGACATTAATTCTTCAATAGTGATTGGGTTTGTTGTTTGAAGCGGAGCTTCCTTTTTTCTTACTTGGACTATAATGGCGGGCGATCTTTGTTGAGATGACCTAGAACATACCAAACCCTAATCTTTCTTATGGAAAAACCCCAAACTCGCAGTGCAAATCAACAAGAACTCAAATAATTCACTAGTTAATTGTCATATTATTATACACACGACATCAAAACTTTTTCACAATTCAAATCACGTTAAACCCAGTAATCACTTCCAGTTTAATTTTCAACTCTATTAAACATTCAACTCAATTAAATGTATTATAAATGATAATCCACGACCAATCGAATTGAAAAAAAAAAAAAAAAAAAAAAAAAAAAACTACTAAATAAAGATAAAAAGAAGGAAGTAGTGTAAAGACCTCAATATAATGTTCTAAGTAGAGGGTCTGAGGGTGTCCCACTGATGAAGTAGTAACGAGGGCCGTCGTGCTCAAAATGGAGCAACCGCGCACTAAACCGACCACTGAAGCTTCTCCAAATCGCCATGGGTGGCCTTCGAGCATACATCATTCCTTAAGTTCTTATAATTCGTGGAAATTAGGAAAATTGTTCAATTCGAAGCTTTATGGCTTTTCTCGGAGAAAAAATGAGAAATTTATTCAAATCTCCTTACCTTTTTCTTCCTCTTAAATGTTTTTATGTAATTAATCTACTCGACTTTATTATTTGTAAGCGTAAAACGAAACTTTAAAATTTAAAAAGGGACTCTAGTTATCTTGACGATATTTTTAAAACTATAAGGTACTTTTTTTAATATCTTCTAGCATCAGGTCTACTGTGACGTTACATCAAAATACATAAAAATGATAAAATCTGAAAAAAAATATGTAATAAGATGTAATTGTAAGTCATAAAACACAATTTTAACATTGGAATCTTAATTAACTTAGATTAAAATTGTGTGTAATATTTTTAGGGACTTTCTCTGTAGTCCCTTTAAAAATGAACTATAGTAGTCTCTTAGGGTCTATTTGAAAAGTATATTTAAATTAAGATTCTTAATTCTAACGTTTAAAATTCTATTTTTTTGTGAGAAAAAACACTGTCATAGAATCAATGATTTGAGTTTGAGTATAAAAAATGAACGGGTATGTGTTTTTTAACCGCTAAACTTGTATCATAATCTGTCTGTTATGTATATTTTTTTAATTTGATATGATTTTGACAAGATATCACGATAAAAAATTAAGACTATTGAAAAGGCAGACTATTAGAGAAACTCTTATATTTTTATGTGTAATTTACGGGTAGTTTTAGGGAGTTTCGCTTGTAGGACCATTAAAAAATGGAACTATGGGTAATTCTATTTTTCAACAGTTTTCAATCATTAGATCTGCATCAAAATTGTCTGTTTTGCATATTTTTCAATCTCATTTTATTTTGATCAGATTTAACAGTTAAAAAATTGATCTTACCAATAAGACGGCATGCCGAAGATGGTCCGTAGTTTATAAGGCCCGTTTGGTAACGTTTTTAAAATAATTTTATTTTCAATACAAAAATTAAAAAAAGAATATTTTAAGACTCATATAATTCTAAAATTGCGTGTAGTTAATTTTTTAAGAGATTATTTTGACTATAATAAACAAATATTTGGTTATAATTATTAATTAATATATTATTACATTATTAATAAGTATTAAAAAATAAAATTAAAAAAGAAAAAATAATTTTTAATCATTTTTTAATTCTTTTATAAAAATTATTTTTACTGTTTTTTTATTAAATAAATACGATTTACAGGCTTTTTATTTTTATGTCTAAAAAAAATGTAAAAACACTTTAAAAAATGAGTAAAAATCAATTCAAAAAGCACCTATAACTTTTATTTTTTCTCTCTTCTTCAATGATCAAGTTATGTCACCACTTTAGAGTGCCAAAATTATACCGATAGATGTTTTTGGCTTGGCTCCACTTTTCCATCACTACTATTCCCACGTGCATACCCACCCCCACCTCACGTGTCACAACCCCTTGTTGTTCTCTTTCTCTGTGCAAATGACTTTGCAGCCTTTTTTTCTCCTGCTAAGCAACTTTAGACCCAACCCCCACAACCCATTTGGAGTCGAACCATGAAAAAAAAAAAACCAGATCAGACCCTTCACTGCTCTCTGACCACCCACCCCTCTCAATTTCTCTCTCTTTTTGTCGCTAAACTAACCTTTCTTCTTTTATATGTAAACCCCAAACCCCAACCAAAGCAACTACTACTCATAACATCCTTTGCTTAGTGCTAATGTAGTATAGGCATATACACCAAAACCAAAAAAAAAAAAAAAAAAGTACTCTTTTCTCTTGTACTCTCCGAGAAAAAAAAGAAATTAGGGCTTTAGAAATGGAAATCAATGGAAGCAATAGTAATAGTAATAGTACTATTAGTACTAGTCTCGCTTGGGACGTTTGGGAACTCAACAATAATAATAACACCACTTCTTCGAGAATGGATTGGACAAGCACTAGTACTAGTACTACTAGTACCGCTGATGCTACCGGTAACGGCTCGTTCTACGCCGGCACCGGTGACGGCGAGCGCCAGGAGGCCGGCGGTATGGGTCACGCGCCGCTGCTGAACACGGCGCTACACGCGCAGGCGCTTCATCATCATTATTATCGCCACCATCATCATCACGACCAAAACCAAGAGCAACATCAACAGCTGACGATGTACGGCGGAGACGGTGGGTCCCACCTCCACCCGGACCCACACCTGGTTTGTCTGAAGCTGGGGAAGCGGCACTACTTCGAGGACGTGACGGCTGCGGCGGTGCCGGTGGAGGAGCGATGCGTGGCGGGGTTTGCGATGGGGAAGAAGGGGAAAGGGTTTTGCGGCGGCGGTGGAGGTGGAGGGACGACGGCGGCGACGGCGACGGCGATGGTACCGAGGTGTCAGGTGGAGGGGTGCCACGTGGCGCTCGTGAACGCCAAGGATTACCACCGGAGGCACAAGGTTTGTGCGATGCACTCCAAGGCTCCAAAGGTTGTCGTTTTAGGTTTGGAGCAGCGTTTCTGCCAGCAGTGTAGCCGGTGAGTTTATCATTTCCCTCTCTCTATTATATATATGTATGCGTGTGTGTGTATATATATATAACTTGCAACATATAGTTGGCCAAGATTGTTAATTGAAACAATTATTTACCAATTATGTGCCCTAGTTTTTGTACTTGGGTATCATTTTAATTTCAAGAGTTTTTGAGGCTTCATTAATTTATTAATGGGCATGTAAGAAAAGTGTAGTAATTAATGGGTGTGAATATATATGGTTAAATATGTAGGTTTCATGTGTTGTCAGAGTTTGAGGAGTCGAAGAGGAGTTGTAAGAGGAGATTAGCAGGGCACAATGAGCGAAGAAGAAAGAGCTCTCATGATTCTATTGCCAGAAACTCTTATCATCATGGTACGCCTAATTATGTTTATCTTAATTTATTGTTGTACCTTTTTTTTTTTTTCGCTTTTATAGATTGGGTTTTGAGCTCAAAATATTCCCTTGCAATATTTATAACTAAAGTTTAATTTATCTGTGATGGGTAGCTAGTACTTTTTGTTACGCCACCAATCATACGTGTGTACTAAACAAAGGAAGGCAAAAGCTGTAACTAAACCAAGTCAAAAAAAGGTTAGGAACTTTGAAAGATTTTAACTCAAATTTTGTTGGTGCAGAGTTTTTTTTTAACAAAAATTTAAATTTAATTTTTTTTACAGTTTTTTTTCTCACATAAAAATGTTTGAGTTGTGTCTTAAATTAGGAAAAGAACACTCTCTTAATTGGTAAAAAATCTCATCAAAATGAAAATATACGTAAACTGACAGCATTGATGCAAATCTGAACATTCAAAACCGAGTCCTACTAATAATCTAACCTTATTGTATAATTCTCGATGTATTTTATATCATCACATGGTTTTGTTTTCCTTACATATATCATTTGAAATCAATTTGTAATTCTACAAATAGAAACTATGAGTTATGTCCTAGGAGCTAGGAATATGATGAATGCTGAGTGAAGATATATAAACCGGCATTTCACTTTTTAGTTGACCATAACTACGCGAGTATTGAAGAATGATATTTTTCTATAGAAATGTAGCAACTTAATTAGAGATATTTTACATGCTAAAAAGACTTACCTACAACTAACTCTAGCTATGTTAACTTAATCTTCCTAGACTTTGTAAAGCTTATTGAATTTGTTAAACTTTTCTCATCATAAACTTCGAGAAATTGAGATAATTTGATCATTCAGTACTTGGGGGCAAGTACGCTTCAAATTTCAACTTCATTAACCTCTAATTAAGAAACCTCACTAAAGAATTAGTACCATTTATATGGTCACTATATATGCATGACTAGAGAAGTTGAATATATATAATTAAATTAAGAGAAAAAAAAATTTTCAATTTGTTTGTGAACAGAGACCAAAGTACTAATGGGTGGAGGGTTTCCATACTTGACGTCTCCAACAGGACGTGCTCTCTCTCTTCTGTCATCTAAGACTGATTCTTGGGTGCCTCCATCGGACCTCTCCTCGAGATCAAGTGCCGCGCTGCGCGAGCTCATCGCTGAGAATCGCGCGGCCATATTGGCGCGGCAGCTCTTTTTGGAAAGGGATACTTGGCATTTGCACCACCGCAATCACCACCAGCAGGGCGAGGACTTAACCTCCGAGGCCCAACAAGGCGGGTTCGGTTCGAACATCGAGCCCCACCATCACCAGATGTTTCCCGAGCCACCGGCACACGGGGGCTGGGAAAGGATCAACGAAAGCGCCGCGCACGTGACGTTGGACCTCATGCAGGCTCCGAGCCCGGCTTTCGGGTTTGTCCCTGCTAGGGGAAAAGCCAAGGCTGAGGAAGAAGAGTGTTCTGATTTGTGGAACTCGTTTCAAGGGCCCAATCTTGTATAATTATGAACATTTAATCTTTTTGTATTTTCTTTTCTTTAACCTCTTTTGTTTGTGCTACTAAAGAGTGGCGAATTACATTCTCTCAATTCTTTTTTAGTATTGCCTTTATCTGGAAGAGAAGTACCTATATAATTGTTAATTGGAAAATACGCCTTTGAGAATTAATACTACATCTCTATCTAGTTACCTTGTTTAAAATTTACTTCTTTCTTTTTTTCATGTATATCAGTTTTTACAAGGTTTAGTTTTATGATATGCCAATGGTAACATGCCTTATGATAGAGGAATTTTTTTTTTTTTTTTTTTTTTTAATGTAGTTATTTTATTAATCTTTAATGATTTGGATTATGAGTAGTTTTTCATGTTTAAAATAGTACATAAACGTCAGATTGCTCTTCCTCATAAATTAGACTCTTAACAATTTAATTAAATGACTAGAGAAACTTGCTTTACTGGTAAAGCCAATCAATAGTGCTACTTAAAAATTTCCTGATCTTATGATAAAGTATCTGTTTCTAACCCTTTATGGAAATTCCCTGTTCCCAGTGAAACTTATATGTAATTTCAAGACTACTTTTTAGGTCTCTAATTTTAATTGCGAAGGACATTATAAATTTGATGAACCACAATCATCGATTTTTATGATAATTCCAGAATTCTTTTCTTACCGTTTGGTCGGAGGGTTCTCATGAATTTGAACTCAAAAGCAGTCCAAGCTCTTGTTCAGTTGCGTATTAGTTTTGGGTTGAAGGTTTTGGGTTCAGTACTTCAACCCAAAATTAAAGATCTTACTCCCTCTTAAAGTTTTTTGAGTTCTAAGTTCTAACCTAAAATACTGTTCACAAAACTTCTCACTAATTATTTTCACTCACATTTTTAAAACACATCATTTTAATAATATAATCAAACGCTGGTTCAACTTTATTCTTATTTAAACCTTACACTATTATACGTTAGTTTGAACTACAGAAAACTCATATATAGATTTAAATCCTCACAATTAAAACCAGCGAAGCGAATGAGACCGAAACAAATTGAGTTGAGAATTTGAGTTATAAAGTGATTTCTGTGAGAGAAAATATTGCAACAAAAATATTTAAATTTGACTTTTTGTAATAAAAACACTGTAATAAAAAAATTTAAGCTGTGAAAAGAAGTTGGGACTAGGGAGAACAATAAGAAAGCTACATCTATCCCTGGGGCCTAGGCTCTTCCATTTTGTGCTAGGTGTGTTTTTTTTCTCCTTTTTTTTTGGTAATAGTAAAAAACTGGTGACTATAGATTGAATGGTTGCTGAATACTGGCATGTAGTTTGAGTTTAAAATTTTTTCACTAATTCATTGCATTTTTTTTGTTGAAAGTTTTTTTTTTTTTTTCCTTACATAAATTTAACTAGGACAAAAGGCAAAGTTTCAACTGTCATTAAAGTTCTTATCCTATGGCTAGCAAGTTATTACTGGTGAAGTTTCTTGGGACATAAAGTACAGAACTACATACGAAAGTAGAGATCAAAAAAGTCTTCGTAACTAAATTAGCAAGCATTATAATGATTTTCATGTACACTACATGACCAATTCTTTTCATGTCTCCACATGAGAGTTCCCTATCACATATATAGTACTACTTTAAGAAAATAATTAATTAGCAATGAGTTGTTGTGTACGAAGTGGAAATACAATTTTTTTTTTTTTTTTAAAAAGATAGTTACGAAAATTTTTCTTCTATTTTCAACTAATTTTTTCACAAATAACCTTTTTGTTTCTCAATATTAGATCAATGGATGTAAGCTGAAATAAAGTGTTTGGTATTCCAATAGCTAACGAGCACGAAAAACGCATTTCTTAATGTCCCTATGCTAATATTGAAACTTTTATTAATCATTTTCTTTCTTTTTCATTGATATGATAATCAAAATGCTATCGTTTAACCCTCTACAAATTAATGCACCGATATCAGTTGTTGGGATATAAGTATATTACTTTAAAAAGGATAAATGTAACATCATTAAACCCGCATCAACAAAGATTATTTAAAAAATAAAAAGCAAACTTTCAAACCATGGGACTTGAACGTTTCATCTCCTTCAAAACATGAACAACCATTTACTAAACAAGCTCTTCTGACATTCTGAATTTATTCATTATAAGTTCATGTTTTTTGAAAACTCTAAAAAGATCAGACTTTTAAAAGTCCCGCATGAGCGAAAAATGAGGATATTTTCCCTAAACTACTCTATATAAGGAGCAATGGATTACTTTAGCCTTCACAACTCACAATAGTTTGGTCTACTAACAAGCAAAAGAAAAAAAAAGGTAGCTTGGTCTCTTTTTGATGACAGTATATGGTTTTTGTAAATACGAATCACAATGTCCAGAGACCAGCAGAGTAGCAGGTTTTTGGAATCACAATGACTTCATAGGCATGTTTTCTCTCAATGACATCCCAAAACACGATATCTTCCCTACATAATTTCATTCACTAAGTTGGAATTCAAAACATAGAATTATTTGAAAAAATACTGACCAAAAGTCATTATAAACTTACAACAGAATGTGGTAGCATAATTTCCTTTTTTTCATGACTCTCCTCCCACCATTCGTAATGCTTCCCCATTCCAGTGAACTTATCAAATCTAGATTAAAAAAATTGTCAATGAACAATGTTTCATATAACAAACATATACTCCGTGCATAAGTTTCAAATGCTAATTGTCAATGATGCTAACCTAAAGCTGTTTTATTTTTTTTCTACTTAGAAAAGTTAGCTGGTAAAATTGAGCGACTGTGCAAATTTAAGTAAAAGTATGCTCAGATCACTATGGGACAATGCTATTATAATGATCGATGATTTAATGCACCAATATCTTAATATATTTTCTCCGATATATTACCATTGACAAGTGAGAAGTCATTTGAAAAGAAAATCAAATTATATATATTGGATTGTAACTTTCAAAATAAAAGGTTTGTGAAAAAGGTTAAAAATAAAGGGGAGATTTTGGTAACTAACGAAAAAATAATAATAAGCTAATCATTATTTATTATGACCAACAAATTATGCAGAATCATATAAGAGCGAAAAAAAATATGTAAGTTTGATAGAACTTGATAAAAATTTTATGGTCTTAATAAAAAAGGCTATTTAATCTCTTTGGGTGCATTTAATTGCATTGGAGGAATAGTAATAGTGATAGAAATGAAAATAGTAATGATAATGAAATGGAAAAAAAAAAATTCGTTCATTTGTTTGGTTATAATTTTAAGAATACTATGAAATAGAACATGAATATTTTAATGGTTGACAAAATTATTCTTATATTATATATAACACTAATATTTTATATGTCAATATAATTAATATAATATATAAAATGTAATATAATATAATAATATAATAATATATTATATAATTATGATATATAATATAATAATATTATTAAAATTGTTAATATAATTACAATATTATTAGATTATATAATAATATTTCAGTTTTAATATAATTAAAAATTACAACT